AACATCGAGGTATACATCAAACGAGAGAGCAAATATTTTATAAATACATATCGGACACGGAAAGCGAATCTTTTTACATTTACATCAATCTAGAAAGCTGCATTTAACAATAGATCTAAACAAGAAAGCGAAATCTAATTGGGACGCAAATTTTCGATACCGATACGGCCGGAAATAGCAAATCTCTGTGCTCGACATTTGGCATTTATCTTGGTTTTCACGGTTCGCCAGCACTTGCCCTCATCCTCATCGGGTCCAACCGGAAACTTTGTGAAGACCAGAACTGAAACAAAAGCAAACAAAATATTTAATAAAACCTCTACCGAAAAATGCACTTATAAGTGGGTAAAGCGCTTCGAACAAACTAAATAATATCAATAATAAATAATGATTTGGAGGTAGCACATCCACAAAGTGGTTCATCGTAGGAGAAAACCGGAGTACCCGGAGAAAAACGTCTCGGAGCAAGAGAGAGAACCAACAACAAACTCAACCCACATATGGCGGAAGTCTTAAAGAGGTAACCGCATCGAGATCTTAAAAGGTGACGTACCTTTCAGCGAGTGAAGTCTTGTCCGGTCAAGCGGGCTTTTATTGAAGTTGCCTTCTGTGTTGCCCATGGCAAGCTCCTCCTTTGTGAAGAACTGCTTCAGCAACCTGATAGCACATCTGTCGCGTTCTGATTCAGCATCCAGGGCCTCACGGACTCTGTGGACCTTTCTCGGTGTGACGCAGCTCCTAATAAGTTCGTCTGTTACCACACCGGTTACATGAACGGGACTGTCGGAAACAGGATACGCAGACACATGTCTAATAGCTGGACTGCTGGATGCAAGATGCTCTGACAATTGTGGAACGACTGGACTGCAGGTTGTACTGAAAGACTCGCTTAATGTGCAGAGTGCATTGGCATCGATCGTAGATATATCTGTTAGGGTCTCCTCCATCATCTCAACAGCGGGTAACGTACTGTCATTGAACTATAGGGAACGAAAAAGAAAAGAGAAGTAAGTAAAAGAGGCTGAAACATATATTTCTTTTTAACAGGATTTTCTACTTACTCTATTCTAATTATAAACACTATCAAGAAAACAGTTTCAATGAATAACAGCATTATATAACAAAACTGAACAATTATGTTCAATTGATGCAAAAACACGTTTTGGCTTAAAAAGATCACAATTACCGAGTAATAACCCTGTATTTAAATATGTTAAAATTTCTTGTCAAAACTCGAACTCAAGAAAATGAAAACCCAGAAGTACATCCACTTTATGAGGCAATGATCTTACTCAAGTAAGCTAGTATTACTTATTATTATTATAACAAACTAATAAGTTGAAACTATTTCTAATAAGCAATGCTTACATTTACAAGAGGATCTGAGTTGACCGGTACTGCTTCAAGGCGATCCAGACGCTCCACGATTCTTTCTAGTGCTGCAGTCATTTTATTCTGCATCAACGCAATTGTCTCTTCTACCTTTTCCACAGCCTGCAAGAACAAAGGGCAGAATTCAATTTAAACCAGTATCAACTCGATTGATAGCCTGCGTCACAGACCATCAAAACAGCCTGGAACTACTAATGGTCTAGACGATACGTGGGCCGGCTGCAACGCAGCCTCAATTGATAAATTGTGAACATGGAATCTTGACCTACGAACTCGAAAGTTGAAGAAACTCGAATGTTTAAGTGCGAAATGGAATATTAAAAATTGTAAACTTGATTTGGGGAGAACTACATACTCACCTTGAATAACCTTTTGTCCCTTTCTTGCAGTTCCCTCTTCAGTAGGCTAAGTTCGTCAGATTGTTGCAGTGTCGGTGAAGTCTGGGTAGCCACGTGGATTGCGAGCGTTTTGGCACTTGGAGTTTGTGTGGCGACGCTGTCGTTCCTTTTTGTCGGAGTGTTCATTGTCAGGCTCTCAACATCGGCAGTCTTGGGTTTCTTTGCGGCATGATTAACACTCCAAATCGCCTCTCGTTTCTGCTGTTCCGCCAAGAATAAAGCATATGGGTCTGTAACAGGCGCATTCACCTCTGTCTGGGTTGGCATTTGACTAACAGGATTCTGCTGGTTGTTCTGCTGGGAATGTTTGTTCACGATTGTTTGTCCTGCGTAAATAAAAGAACATGGCATTAGAACTGCCTCAAAGAAAGGGAATGTGCCTCCTCTCAGTATCGAAGTAAGCGGTGACTTTTAAGAGTATTTACCTTTCTTTGATTTCCTGGATTCCCATTTTTCGCATACTTCGGCATCATACCATCGCGAACCGAACTTCATTTTGACAGCGTCTCCAGGTTCGAGAGCAGACAGTTCTTTTCCGTTACCGTCATTTTCATTCAGTTTCAAGTCTCTTCTTTTAGGCCAGTGCGGTCGGTCTCTCCATTGGCAATTAGTTTTCCAAATCACTTTAACTTTGTCATTAAGAGACATGTTTTTTGATGATCAACTGATAAAGTGTTTGTAGTGACTGTTGAATTGAATTAGTTATGAGTTCGTAATATATGAAGCCATTGGACCTCTGAGGAAACAGATGCAAAACATTTTTTTCTACTGTATCTAGGATCGAAATGCACCAATCAACAAGAACTAGTGCGCGTCTAGAATATTAATGAGTTACCAACCATTACGTTTGAGCACTAACAGTAGTAACAGTCGGAGAGTCTTCTGGAATAAACGACTTAATGGATAAATAATAAAAAACACATTTTACAACAAAATAAGATATCAACAAGAAAAGAGCGCGATCTTGTGTTTCGTTAAGAGAAAAATTTATAATTTAATTATATGAAAACTTTATTACCGTGTCATGACTATCACTGAGATGTACGAAGATCGCAGGATCTGAAACGCCTGCGATTGTTGTTACTTTTAACATTTCTCGACAAATCGGCTTTGACTGGAAGAGGAAATTACAGCGAGGGCTTCTGCTCCTTTTCTCTCCGATATTTTCGAAACGGGTTACAGCTTGTATGTTTGCTAAGATGACCAGGTCAAGTTCTTTGGTGGACAGTTCGAGGCAGTTGTTTAAATTTCCCATGACTTCTTCTTCCGTAAACTGCGATGAGCAGGGGCCATCCTTCGGACCACGTGAGCATTTGCAACCACTTTCAAGAAATTTGTTTACACTGTCAACTATTCCATCCGCACTTGCGTTTTCTGTAAATTCCATAGCATGTTCTTCTTTTTCCATTTTCGATGTTCGAGTGACTGCTTGTCTAATGATTGTAAGGATTTGAGCCTTCAAGCAAAGGTTACCATAACAACGCATCAAGCGGACTGTCCTGGTACCAATAGTAAGTTTGCGTGCTTTCGTTCGCTTTCGCTAAGAATAACATCCTATTCTTTTATTTATTTATTTTTTTCATAAAAAGACAATAGACGCGGTAACCAGAATTAGCGGCTTTCATCCTATAACTTGAAGATTCGTACGCTCAACGACAATTTATTCGACATGATAGTTATCTTTGTGAAAATGTGTAAACTGAGATCGTGTGAAGTGTCCAACAGAAGAAATGGTTTACTGGCGCCTCCAGGTAAATAATCAGAAAACCTATTCGCTTACATGTTGCTATTAATAGTTTGTTACGTACGTATGTAAATGCTCGTGTGTTCAAGTGCGCGAATGTAGCCTGAACGACAAACGCATGAAAGTGTGAGAAAACGTTTTTGTTGCAGGTTTTAACCGAGTACAGATTGGGCGATAATCAAACGAATGTAGAGCGATAACCTAACGATTATAATTTCAAAGGACATAAAACAGAATAATCAAAAGAACTTCACTCATTAAACGTTCTAGAATGCAAATCTAACGACTTTGCCGAACGACTTGAACGTCCTGGAACGAAATTTCGAACGACTTTTTCTAACGTTTTGAACGACCTTGACTAACGCCTTTAACGGTTTCTCTAACGCTTCTAACGGCAAGGCAAATTTTTCTAATGGTTTTACTAACGGCTTGAACGCTTTCCCAAGCCGTTGTAACGCTTAGTTAACGGGTTGTTAACGCTTTAAGCCGTTAAACGGTAAACTGTTAGTGTACGTTTTCCTGGAGAAGGTCACATTTTAAAAAGTGGCAAATAATATGATTTTAATTCTCAAAGGGAAGGGGGGGGGGCGCCAAGGCGTCAAAAAATGGCAATGCTTGGCTGAATTGTATTAGTTTAGGTGTAAAGCCTTTTCATTCCTCACGTATACAGTTGGCATTTGAGAAACATTCACAGTAGTGTCATGCTGCTCCAAGTTTTCTTCCCGGTGGGAGCTGTGGATAATTGTCAATAATCTCTTTCGAGTTTCTTCTGTTTTGCTAGATCTGTTCTCACATATCAATTCCTCTTTCTCTACTGAATCCATCAACCCTACTTGAAAAAGATTATATTTGAGAAGCAAATATATCAGTACTGTAATACATTAACCAGATACACAAGAAGTTAAAAATTGTAATAGTTTATTTCCATGAAACAAATTAAAGTTGAAACTGAAAATTATAAGTTTCTTCTTCTTGACTTTTGTTGATGAATCTGGGTTTTCCTGTCCAAAAAATAAGTAAAATGGATGTAAACATACATGCCACGAGAATATTGGTAAAGGGTAATGGCCCATTCAGGACTGTTATATCTGTAATTTTGCTGGCTCATTTGGTTCATTTTATCCTTGGCAGAAATTTAAATACCACCTTTTCTTGAATGTGGTTTTGTATGAAAACAAGACGCTGTAGGAGCATGTGTTTGGGCGTGGTTGTACTACTCGTATGATACTTTGAATACGCATTATTGCAGCTAAACAACTGTCATCATATCTCACCAGAGAAGATAAATCCTTTACTCTACTTCTTTGCTCATCCGTACAGCTTATACAGTATATCCCAATCCACAACAAAAATAGTGTCATTTCATAATAGTGTTTGAAAATATGCACATCTTCAATGCAGAGATGCTTTGAGCCAAATTGCAAATCAAGACATCAGTGCTTATAGCCCGGAGAGTAAGGTTTATCTCAGCTCCACTTATTCTAAGGGCGTTAAAATTGACAAAGGAACTTTAATGTGTCCTATAGAAATAGTTAATTAGAGAGGTGCATTTAACATCTGATGACTGGAATGATTTTTGTGAACTATGTAGAGCTCATGGAGTTAAAGAATCCCTAAATTGCTTCAGAGGTCAAATTCTGCTTCATGACGAAAACCAGAGGAAATCAATGCTAAAATGAACAGGAAACACATCAGCCTCATCAATAACCTCTCAAGTGGCAAATGTAACACCGTAAATCCTCTATTAAGCCCCCCTTTTCATAGGAGGAAAGTTAATAAGCCTCCTCCCCGTCCCCCTTTCCCTCCCCCTCCCTCCCCTCCCTCTTTACAAACAAACGTGGACTGATCAGTTATGGTTTATTCAGGCTGGAAATTCACATTGTTTTTGGTCCTCAGCTGCATGACCTCCAACCTCATGTGCTTAACTTTTTCAACTTTATGCCTTAATTCTCTGTTAAGAATTGTTACCATTTTCGTATTGTTAGACAAGCAGTATAACACTCAGAAACCACATGTCCATCCTCGAGAAACCTTGCTCCCGTTGATGCATTTTTGCAATCGGCTCCTGGTTTCGCTACATTAAATAAGCCCCCCCTCAAAATTGCTTGAAAAAAATAAGCCCCCCAGGGGCCTTAATAGAGGATTTACGGTATTTACTGGGTCTAAATGAAGAATTGGCTACGGCATACTCTACCCGTTTAAATTTACTAACCTATGAGTATTATCAAAAACTCTTTTGATGTTGAGCTGGGATTGACCAGGGAGTTTGCACTCCATGACAAAAATATTGTCTGACGTGCTTTTGTTAGATAGCCAATTTTGTACTCCAAAACAAGATTAGCTACAATACTGGTCACAAATCGTTGAAACAGGAGCCATTTGTCTTGAATTTTCTCCAAATTTCTTAAATTCACTCCTGACACCTTCGTTCTCACTTAAATTTACCCCTCTCCTTCCCCAATGTTGGCCCACGCGTATTTTGGACCAGTGAGACGACTGTAATACCCAAATCAACATTGGGGAAGGGGAAAATCACACAAGTGTTTCAAGATTTGTGATGAGTATTGTCTTTGCATTGGGAGGGCGTGGACAGGTAACGAAATGTATGAAGGGTAACTATTTCCACCTTTACTGTTAAAAATGTCATGAGTATTCTTGTTGTTACTGTTCTAGATGTTAAGTCAGACTAATAATTATATAGCTGGTATGCATACTTTTGATTATGAACGATTTCAACATACATTTCTCCAAAACCACTTCAGTGAAAAGGATGTGCCTAAAAGTTCATCAGAATTGAACAAGGGGTGCATATTTCAAGACCGAAGGGGAAGAAAAATTACTCAAACATATGGCAATGGAGATGATGTTTGGTGATTTTTACATAGCAGAAAGAATTTTTGGAGCCATTTTATCACTTGAAACTGATTTGGTATTTATGGTGACATGCTTTTCTTGCGAGCCTCTGGGAGAGAATGGTAGAGAATATCGCTAATTAGTCGTTATCTGAAATAACTACACAGAGGTGTCAGATGAAAATGGAACCCTTTCCTTCTTTTTCTATGATCTTAAAGGTTCTACACACAAAGATGAGCTAACTATGTAGAGAAATACATTATTAAACGAGATCATACGTTTTAACGAGCTATCTATCTTATAAGCGCCAAATCTCAACGATTCACCACTATGTCGTACTGTAAAGTAATTATAGTACCATAGACTTTATGGAGTATTGGTTCACCATGGTGAAGCGCTTCAAATAGCATTATTAAATATGTTCATGAAGAAAATTTATCCTTATCTGTATGTTCTATGATCTTCTCTATAATTCCAAACACTTACAGATGCAGTAGCTTTTGTTTTTAAGGGCTAAAAAGGCAAAGAATTTCCCGAACACCATGGTGAATCGTGTTACACTCAAGCTGCAGCAAATAATGTCAACAACCTCAGCAATATTTACATAATATCCTATTCATTTAATTACAGTGGAACCTCGATTTAACGAAGTCACTGGGGACTGACCAAATTTGTTTGTTAAATCGAAAACCTTGATAAAACGAATTTGAGGGGAAATGACCAAAAAGGTTCGCTATATCGAGGTCATAGTTAATGTTTGATTTGTAACACAGGTGACTTCCGTCACACAATTCAATGCAATTTTCGTCACCCCGAAGTGCCGCGTTTTGAGATGCAATTCATTTATTAAGCATGGTGACTTTCAGCGTCAATTATTTTGACTTTTGAGCAGATGCTCAGCTTTTCTTTACGGTACAAAAAAACAACACGTTCAGAGCAGTGATTTAAAAATGTTGCAACATAGAGATGCTGCAGCATTGGGCGGTAAACCCAGAGTAATAGTGTTGAAGCCACTGCATCGGTTGTGCTTTGCATCGATATAGCAATATTTTTCATGAAGTAGAACCGTTCCATCTCTGTCCATCAGAAGCCCAAGGCTAGCCTGAAATCAAGAGGTTTTAAACGCAAATGACAGCTCGTTCTGACGCTCATCATTTATTCGATAGACATAAAACAGGTCACGTTTGTCGCAAAATTTTTTAAATTCTGCCAATGCCTTAAAAGAGTGACCCAGGTCATCCTTTCTCGACTTTTCCTTAATGGCCTCTATTCCTTTAAGCTCGTCAAGAGTTACAGCCACTGCATCGATTTTTTGCCAGTCACGTTCGTCTCTTAAAGCTTCCACTAATGTGTGGCTTGCGGCTTGTGATGGCGTGATTGTGTGGTTTTTCAAAAAGGTCTTTTGAGGACCGGTGTGCACGTGTGATTTCCTTGATGGTACACAGTACCCAAAGTCTTGCATTCAGTAAATCCCACACTTTAATAGCTTTACACGGGACGAAGGTAGCTTTGGTCTCCCACAGGAAACACTGCTTTTCATTCTTTCTCCCGGCAAACTGCATGGTGTTAGGGGTCTTTCTTTCATTACGGAATAAACAATTTGAATTTGGACATGCCTACGATCCACCACACTGTGCTCGTCTTCGAATGCCTTTGAATCCTGAATGCCGTGATGTGAACCAAGTTTTCCAAGGCCGCCCATGTTTGCTCGATTTCAGAAGGTTTGTCGGATCACATGGAAGGACAAACTTTTGACACCCATTGATGTCGAATGCCAACGACTCCACCACTTTACCTGACATCTCCAGATTGTGGGGAAGATCCTTTGTAAGTGATTTGGTATAATCACGTTATTTTTCATTGCGTAACATCTACGTCGTAGTTATGTAGCACAGTTATTAACGCAGGTGTTATCTTACATAATTGTATACTTGGGAGAGACAAGTTATTTGGAAGAAAGAAAGATGTGTTTATTTTTGTTTTAAAGAGTTCAGATAGGAAAAAGAGGTATGTTTTTGCTATCCTTTATTTACATATGCCATGTTGTTTGATTGTACTCCGAATTATGGTGCTGACTATCCTTAAACCTTTTGAGTCTAAAACTGTATATTTTATTTTGGGTTACCCCCCATATTTCATGTCCAGATAAATTTTTGTTAGTTATGGATGCTTCGCTGTATTGTTATTTCAGTTTTTACGTGATTCCAAGCCACATCATTAAAGAATTATAAAAGAGTAGACTGGCTTTTGGTGGAAATCGCAGTAAAGGCCCTTATCCTTGCATGGTCAGAGAGTGAATTTGTGCTTGTATAAATCGACTCACCTCTGCTCCCGCTACAGTAAAAAATCTTTGTTGGTAAACGCATGAGACAACAACGTGTTGATTGCACCAATCTAAGTATGGCCACTGGCTATGATTTCCAGAGCACTGGCAGATCCTATAAGAAAAGAACTCGCGATCAAACAGCAAAAGGCAGGGAATTCCAGAGGCAATTGTATGAAGATGAAAGGTCTTCCACCCAGCGTGGCTGGCGTAGACAGATAAATAATATCGAAAACTGCCTTGCCGACTCAACTGATCCAAGGAAGTTGCAAAGCAAGAGAAATTTTCTGGAGTCTAAAATGGATATCTTAGTCTCTGTGCAGGAACGATTTCTAGATGCCCTGGAAGATTCAGAAGCAAAGCGCGTTGCAGAAGATAAATTTGAAATGTAGGAATGATAACACTCAGATGCACTAAAACGAGTTAACTCAAAAATAACAGAGCTTAAGAACGAGAACCAAAGCTTATTCTCTTCAGTGAATAAGTTTCACTTCACAGTGCGAAGTCACGTTCGAGCAGCAAAATATCGCATTCATCAGCTATAATTGATAAGAAAACGGAAACTGCTGTCAAACTTGCCAAGATAAAGACAGAATTGAATTTTGCAGAAGGTGAAGCAACAAAAGTTGCAGAATTAAAGAAGTTTACGCTTACAAAGGAGTTAGCTACAGCGCAAGCTGACATGAATGCCATCACTAAGGTAGAAGAGAGTGAGCTAGGCTTAAATGACAGAAATAACAGAGCCATATTTCCCGGATTCATCACTAAAGACGATCTCCTACAAAATTATCTTGTAACGCAACCCTCTTCTGTAGCTATAGACAGCCCTTCAACTGTGCAGACATGTCTAATGGAAACAAAAAATCCCCTTCTCCCAAGTACATCTTTCCGGATCTCACAGTCACATGAAAACGACCAACTGGAACCGAGAATCGAAGATTCTAACAACCCTGGGTTTCCTGTGATAAATTACCCATCATTGTTGAATCCATTCGTGCCAGAATACGTTGTTTTGTCAACGCCTAAGAACGCGGAGCCCACAAGTCTGCGTATCATGCAATGCAAACAATTGACTCCAAATAGCTTGGAACTTAACTTCGATCAAAGTGTAACTTCTCCAAACCCAACAACTGGAGACTTCGTCGAATGGTTAGCTGACCTGATGACTCAGTGTTACACACGGGAGTCATTGCCGCTACCCGAACCACAAACTTCCAAAGGAGATCTCTTACATTATCCTTCATGGCGAAAATCCTTTGACACCATTGTGGAAAAAAGAACCGACAGTCCAGTTCAGCGCCTCTATTACTTATTGAGGCTTGCATTGCCTCTGACAAATCTCCTAAATTGAATCGTGAGTGTATGATGATAAATCAAATGAGTCTTGTTCTGCTCATGAGTATGTTTGGGGACAGTTACATTGTGTATTTCTGAACCAGTCCCGTCTGCAGAAAATTGAGAACGGTTGAACAACCATTGATCCTTTTGATACCATTCCAAAGCAACACTATATGTGTTGTTTTGGGTTAGGGATGTCATGTTAATCTCCAGTTCTCCGTTGTATTTGCCTTCAGACACACCATCCACAATCTTGACCCCTTCTAACAGTGACACACTTAAAGTTGTTGGTTTCCAGTAATGAGACACAGGCAACTCAATGAAAGAATTGTCCAAATTTAAACCAGTTGTCACACGCCATAGGGAAAGATTACTCATCCATGCTTGGAACACATTCGTTTCTGTTTTAGGTGTCTCAAAGATTTGGGTGGTGCTTTTTTGAAAGCTTCACTTAAATTCACAAATCGCCAACTAAAGGTAGAGCATAGATACAGCAAACCATCGACCACATGAATCGGTTTGGTAAAGGTAAATTTAAAATTCAGACATGTGGCAGGATCTGGTTTCACTGAGGTTTTGCCATAGGGAAGTTCCATGAGTAAATTAGGTCCCACATGAAACACGTTGCTGGCTGTTTCTACGAGCCAACCAATCCGTTTAGCTATCATCAGATTAATAAATAGCATAATAGCTAAATAGGGCACACTTTTTCTGTTTATGCTGTCAATATCATAATGGCGTAACAACCAAGTCGTGTAATTATCCTGATTATTTTGTTCAGATCTTGATGCATCCAACTGAACACTTTGGCCAAAAAGTAAAATCCTGTGGTCGCATTAGGTAAATCAGACTTGTTTAGTTGAGACAAAAATTCTTGCGATTGACTGGACTTGAATGCTTTGGCATACTGTTGAAACATAATCTCTGTAGTTGTTCCTTTGTATCAATTGGATAATTTTTTGTAGGAGATGGGAGGTGATGGCTTTACTGCTGGGATAGTGGGATGAGACAGAAGCGGGGCATGAGAAGTGACCACATGTGGAATAGGATTAGGGGTGCCGCGTAAATATAAACTGGCTAACCCCACTTTCCATTTGCCTGACAACCATAATGTTTGAGGCAAGCAACATTGGAAATGGGAAGGAGAATTGTTGAGAAATTTCTGAGTTTTACTGCTAGTGAGGGTGACATAAAAAGAGGAATCACTTGGTTGAGTCATGGTAGTTTAAACAGAGTATGACGTAACCCACTCTTTTATACCCTGCCTAGAAAGAACGTCTGATGTCACTGCCCAGACATGTTCAAGACCCAAGGGACAGTTGTTGGCTATAAACAGACGCGTTGTGGATGGTCAGATCATTCATGATGTGCAAGATGCAAGAACCACCCATCAGCAAGATGGAGACATTGGAAAAGAGAAACGTTCCAAAGGCAAGAAAACCAAGATAAGAGTGAACCCCAAAGAGATAATTGAAGATCACCCTATGCTTGAGATGAACTGCGAGTCAAAAAGTGAACAAAAAGTTCTAGGCGCCTTATGCAATGAAATGCATACCAAAGTCCTGAATCAGTGGGGAACCTTTGCCTGTCACTGTGGATTAGTGCCTATCCTGGAACTGAGTCAAACCCCCAGAAACGTGAACAAAGTATTCCTTAGCTGTTCCAAGACCAGGGAGACTCGCTGTGGCTATTTTCAATGGGTTTATCATCAAGCACCCAAACCTAACTATGTCCCTAAAACAGCGACCCGATAAGCATTAAAGAAACAATTGAATGACATGGTCCATGAATGAATGCAGAAACGTCCTTAAGTCGAGAAACCTCTTGGAGGATTCAAGTTTCCTTCAGAACAGTCTTTTATTGTAAATTCATTGTTTCCTCTTTGCTAATAAGAACGGCTTGCTGACTATATTGTGTCCTGTCGTATCTTGCCCCACACCCTAGGGACCTAGGATGATGTCATTGCCTTAACATGTCCAACACCCTGGGGATCCTAACCCACTATAAATTAAGATCCATGGATCAATCTCATTTATCACGATGGCATTCAACTTTGGAGATCTTGAGATGGTCAATGCGGGTTGTTTTAACCCTGAGGAACCGTTAAACACTCAATTTCTCCTCATGGAAGGAAACAATCCATGTCCCAGGTTTTATGGCAAGGTGGAAGATAAGAAGAAAGTGTACATTCATCCTGAAGTACATGCCAAATGGGGACATTTAAAATGTCATTGCTCGTTCATTCCCAAAATGCGACTTAGTAAAACCGCCAGAAATCTGAACAAAGTTTTTTTAACCTTTTGTGCCCCTGCTTATCCTGCTGAATCTCGCTGCAAGTTTTTTCAGTGGATCCACACACTGTTGTATCCCCTTCCATCAGACCCAGAAAAGAAACGGGTCAAAAATAGGGTAGGCTACCACGGTGAGTTTTGGCTATAGGGTGTCACAAATGCGTACGATATAACCATGTCAAGATTCCCATATTTCTTTACACTATAAACAGTCTTGAAAATACTTAAATGTCTTAGTCGTTTATCGCCGACGTTTGAATGCAATTATGCATTTAAGCGAAGCTTGAAAATAATGTTTTAAGTAATTGGTTATTTTTAGCGTAAAATCGATTTACTTTCACCATGGAACTGTTCAAGGTTAATTTGCTTATTTCACCATAAATAAAGAAATGAAAGGAGATGTACAACATTGTTACTTTTTTGCCAAAGTTTTTCTTCAACATCCTGTATCAAAAACACTTAATAAATATAAATAACTATGTTATGAGCAAACCATTCGGTTCAGGATTAATAACCTGGCGATTTGTGGAGAGTGAAACTAGGAATGTATTAGTGATGGCCTAACCGAAGAGGACAATAAATTCTTATTGGCGTTGCGCAGCAAAGCGAAAATGGTTAAACAATGATTTTCTGTTTCTGTCTGTCATTAGAAACGTAAGCTTTGCCACTATTCTGTTCGGCTTGTACCTGAGAGTTATACCCATGAGTTCACGATTTATTCCACTTTTTTTTTAAACAGTAAATAGCTGTATATGTTGATGACAAAGTAAGCTGCTTACAGGGTAAGACTCCTTACTGTAAACCTGTATGGAAACCAAGATACTTGTATGTGGACACTGTCACTGGGAACTGGACAGTTTTCAACCGACACATTTTACCATACACATTCGAATGGTCACAGCCAAGGCCCTTTATTGGCGAATTCCCTCAACCTATTAAAATGGCTGCTCAGTTCAGTAAGCGGTAACCATGAGTTGTGGCCAGTGGCCCCGAATAAGAACCTTTTCCCGCAATAATGTCATTGTTCTAAGCTACCGTTCCTTAAAAGGTTTTAAGTTCCATTTTGTGGACATGAAAGTTGTGGGTTGCTGTTTAATTACTTAATTGCTGATGCTACTTAACGGCAACTAAGCAAACTTGGTTTTGGGAAGCCACGTCCCAGCGAGATCTCTTGAATTATTCAAAGAGTCTTAGACACCTTATAGCGAACAATTTTCAAGTTTACACCTCTACTTAAAGTGCTCTGCTGCCATAACAATAGTGACCTTTTTTATTACATATTTCACCACAACAAGTATTCTTTAGAATTACTCTTCCAGGTTTCATTGATTACCTGGTTCTACTGTTAAATTGAAAGACTTTTTCATGTTGAATAACTTCATGAAGAAGTTGAGGCATCCCAGTCGAGCTGGTCCGTTATGAGCTGTCTTTGTACCTTTTTCCGTCCACGCCAGCTGGCAATAAGTCACGGGTCACCATTTATCGGCTTTTTATCACTATTAAACATGAACATGCAATGACTGCTTAACCAAAAGCTTTTCCGGCTTACCCGTGAAAGTATGCAATGGCTTATGGTAAGTAAAAGCTGGCCTTTAAGGTAACTGATTAGTTCATTGCAGTAGCAGTATAGGGCA